TATTACTTGTATTGTGTAGCAAATTCACTTAATTATTCAATAAATCCCAGAGGACATTTATTCTTAATTATTCTTGGTATACTTTGTTTGATAATTTTGTTTACTTTTCCACTTAAGAAACTTAATAAAATTTAAGATATATACATTGGATAACAAATGTATGGTTTTATTTAATTATTACTCATGATCATCACCAGTTCAACACGAGGCTAATCTGGTCCTTATAAATCACAACGCAATGCTAAATAGTTAGGTTAGATTTTAGGTAAATTTAATTTGTGTGAGGTATGTTCTTAAAAAGCACCTTAACACTTGAAAAACACAAATATAATTATAATAGTTCTTGATTTCTCCATTGAAGATTGAGATTAGAATCTTCCCATCTGGAATAAAATAAGGATTTTTTTTGCAGACATTCTGCAGCTAAACGAAACAAAGAAATCTATTTTAATAAATTGAGGTATTTTATATTTAGTTCGCAGCATACATAAGAAAAAAAATATGTGCATTAAATTTCGTGATGGTATGTCATCATACTGCTAGAATTAATTTCAAGATTATGCCAGAGAAAATTTCCTGAAATTTAGAAATATTATTTACTAATAATTAATAAATTTAGAGGGAAGAAGCATCATTAAATTATATGAATAACATAAAAATAAGATAATTACTTAAAAATTGAATTAGAATAATCAACGATATTTTAGCGAATATAGTTATATTAATGGTTTAGCCTAGATACAGATTACTATTTTTTATTTTACTAAAAAATTGAATGGTATAAAATAGATATTTTAGCGAAATAAGATATACTTAGCCTAGATACAGATTATATTTACTGGTAAAGATGCCTAGATTATAACAAGAAATTAGTTTAAGAAAAAAAAAGATTTTGCGCTAAAATTCTAGTATGAAGGGTAAATTTTTGAAAAAATTGTCGCCAAGACCAAAATGAACCCTTTTACTGCGCCTCATCATGTCGCCAAATCCATACATGGAGATTATTTTAACCAAAAAACGTCTATGCAAAGAATCTCTAATTCTTTGGTCTATGTAAAGAAGAAAATTTTCCATACAAATAAAATGCTATTACGCCGCTAGAATGCGGAGGGAAAATTTGCCAAGGGATTTGGCGACGGAACCTGGCGGCCAGAATTTCCCTCTCCGCGATGTGTACCGGAAATTGAGAAACGTGTTAAGAAGAAACGTTCTTTGACAAAAAGAAAACTACGAAAATCCGTTTTTAAATTATTGCGAAAAATCCAAGAAGAAACGTTTTATCAAAGGACGTTTCGTTTCTTCTTGGATTTTTCGCAATAATTTTAAAAACGGATTTTCGTAGTTCCCCCCCCCTGAAAATTACTAACCTATGAATTAATTTACTTGCGCCAAAAAATATTTTCTTTTAATTAACTACTTGCGCTAAGACTAAACTTCATGGTTGCGGTACCGTGCGCTACAATATAGCAAGTGGTAAAGTGTGTCATTTACGCCGCTCCGCATCTGCGAGTGCAATCCAGAGCTGTAACTCGAGAAATAAACAATCTCGTTGTTAGGCGACGTGTGCACCATGTTATTTTCATTTTTGCGATAAATGCTTATCGACGTGGTGTTCACGTCGCTCGCAGTTTGAGACAAAAACATCTCGACGTGCGTGGCACGTCTTTTTAGCGCAAGCGGTTAAAGAAATTTTAAAGGATATTCATTTAATGAACTCTTGATAACGTGACCTTCGAACTTCGACACCGGTTTCCAGCTTTGGCGGCAGATACATCACGCATGCACAGAAAGGAAACTGAAAGGTAGAAGAGAATGGAAACCCATATTGGCACACGAAATCCATTTGTTCCTCGCACTTTCAGTTTTACAAAGTATTGTAAAAAAAAAAAAAACTGAAGAAAGCATGTACTGGACTAAGAAAACATCAGTAGAAACTCCTTTTTTTTGTAAGATAATGTCATATAATCGATACTGTGAAATAAAAAAATACTTGCATTTTGTGAACAATGATTTTTATGATCCAGAAAATCATCCTAACTTGAAACTCTACAAAATTTGGCCTATCTGTGAGCATCTGAATAAAGTATATATAAAAACAATTACTCCAGAAAGAGATATTACCATAGATGAAACGCTGATGTTCAGTAAAGTCAGTTTATCCTGGCGCCAATACATACCCGTGAAAAAGCAAAATTTGGTACCAAAACATACATGCTAAGCAAATCTAGTTCTGTTTATATATGGTCATTTATTATATACACCGGGAAAGGTACTTTGTTTCATCTTAAATTCTGATCTCTCTCAGCACCTTCACAGGTTGTTATGAATCTGATGATGCCATTATTGAAACAAGGTTACTGCATCACCTTATATAATTATTATACTTCAGCAGAATTATGTAATATCATTTTGAATTATCAAAATGATGTAGTTGGAACTGTTAGACAAAACAAAACAAAAAAAAATTTACCTTTAGCATCGAAAAATAAAAAATTAAAAACTGACGAAGTTACATCATTTAGACGCGGCAAAATTCTTGCTCTCAAATGGAAGGGCAAAAAGGAAGTAACAATGTTATCATATTTTCATTATTCTGAAACTGTCAAACTAATGATGCAAATTAAAAAATTGAAAACAAAACCAAAGGTAGTAATTGACTACAATAAAACAATGGGAGGTATGGATCTTGTAGATAAGTATCTTTTTAGTTATCAAGTAGCAAGAAACAGTGAGAAAAAATATTGTATAAAAAAATATTCTTTCACCTTTTAGACCAAGCTGCTTTCAACACTTTTCAAGTTTATAAAAAAGGTGGATGGAAAAAAAGTCGCACCTAAATTTTATACTGGATTTAATCAATGAAATGACTGACAAATACCATACTTTTATCAGTTTTTCAAGACAAGGTCGTCCATCAAGTGAAACGCCATCAAATATTTTATTTGAACGACATTTTTTGGAAACTATACTACCTATTGGGGGGGGAACACTTCCAGAGAATGTAAAGTGTGTTCATCAAAGAAGAATGCAAATGGAAAATGAATTAGGAGAGAAACGAGGTATTTATTGTAAAGATTGCAATGTAGGATTGTGAATACCATGTTTCAAACTTTAACATACACAGAAAAATTATTAATTTTTGAAAAATATTACAGCTATTATTGATGCTGAATAAAAGCCTCACCATTTGCTGATAATAGTGTGTGTTAAACATACATGATTTTTCTCTCTCCAAAATTTAGATGTAATCTTAAACGCCTGTATTAAAGCTTTTCTCCCAGCTTGTGTGTAAGAGGAAAACCAAACATAAAGTAAAATAAAGTAAGTTAAAAAATTTGACATATTAAAAAAAAAACTTAAATTTAACAAAAAATATAGTGTTTTTTATATGAATTTATTTTAAATTTCATAAGCATTAAAAAACATGAATAAAAATTGATGATTTTTTAATAAATTCTGTCAAATTTATGCAACGAGTACTGTCAAATTTATGCAACGAGTATACACAAGTATATATTGGGAAAAACTATACATTTTTATTCAGTAAAGAGCTTTAAACAATTTTTAAGAACAGAACTAACCCTTAAAAACATAGGCAGATATTACCTCCTGTACCTCACAGCAGTCGCACAGCATTTGTAAGAGATATGAATGCCTGTGTGCCTATCAAACAATCAAACTTGCATAGCCATACCATCTGCTGCCTTTCTAGGATGTTGGCAGACTGATACAGAGTTCTTGGTTATCACAAGGTGAAGATATGTCATATATGCTTTGTTAGGTTTAATTGGGACTTATTTGTAAAGAGAGCTGTTTCCCCACAGATGCTTGGTCCAAGATTGATGTTTTCTGCACCACACAAAACAGGCTCTCTTGTTTGTAACAGAACACAAAAAACAGGCCTTGCAAACAGACAAGATTTTAGAGCAATATGTTCACCTTTTCAGAGGTCCAATTAACACTGTTTTTATGGATGACAATGCTCATCCACTCGTAACTAATCTAGCAGATGTCTTTCAGAAAAGTGAGGATATTGACCACATGGATTGGCAGGCTAGACCTCCTGACCTAAACCACAGAGACGTCTGGAATGCTCCTGGAAGGGCAAAATAAATACAACTTGCTCTCCACTTGCAGAGCCCTCCATGCACTCAAAACAGTACTGCTGCGGGAGCAGGACTACAAGGACTCGTGAACCGAGTTACAGAATGTGTCATGTAGTGAGAACCTAGTCTTCCTTTCCTGTTCAACCTTGCAACCTCTGCTTCAGGTCTTCCTGTACCAATAAGCCTAACACATGATCATACATATGTACCATGACTCTATGGCATTTTATTATACACTTATGCGCACACCAAATTTCACTGAAATCTGGCCATCAATTCTGGAGATAATCGACCAAATGTGAGAAATCTCAGAATTTTGAACATTAGCATATATAAAGCAAAGAAAACTTGATATACCACTGGCAGGCCTCATGGCGTGTTGAGTTTTAAATTTCATGATAATTTGAAACTTAAGATGATCTAAATATTTGTTTAAGAGCAGAGTTTATTTATCAGCTGAAATATAACTTTATTTAATATAAATTTATTTTAAATAATTAAGTTAATGAAAAGTATTTTCAGCTGAGTTGATGAATTATAGCAAAACACAACTGGAAGGCCTTCATTGAACACATTCAAAGGAGCAGGGATTTACATTACACATTGGAAAAAGAACCAACCATACAGGCCTGTTTCATGGGCAGGTCAATTATCAACATTTTATTAATCAAGCCATCTGACACAAAATGGGCTTTTATTTCTTTTAGTTAACATTCTACACTTTTTCATGAATGGGGGATCATTTATCTGTGAGATGAATTATTTATCAACATTTTGAAACAGTGAGACCATTTTTATATCAGCACACACAAACAAATGATGTATTTTATTTAGAAACACATGTAATTTTTAATAATCAAATAAAACAGAAAGTAAATGAATAAGCCAACTTACGCACTGATAATATTAGGATCTTGCATTAAGGTTGAAGCCTATATTTGAGAAAAAAATGAAGTATGTAAATATATAACACAGAAAATAAGATCTCTCTAGCGGCAACAAACAATGCAATGCAACAACAAACAAATTATGTATAATACATTATAATGTATTAAAAGTCTAAATTTAACAAACATATTTCCAGTATAAAATTTCAGATCTCATTCCCACTACGGAAATGAACTGAAAATGTAAATGAAACTCAAAACATTGGAGGAGTGAATTTTTTTTTTTTTTTTTTTTGAAAGGGGGGGCACTATTTACATTTAAATGTACCTTGAGCATCAAACCCAAAGAAATATAATATTTAACAAAAACATCTATTGCACAACTGACTTGGAAAACAACAGGAAAAACTTTTAAATAAGCAACTGTTTAATTATTTCAAATAATAAAATTTTTAGACTTTGTTTAGCTATAACATGCTTTAATTCTTTAAACAGACAATAATGAGTAATTATTATTACAGATTAGGAAATCCATTAGCTGAAGCACAAGAATGTGTACTAATTACTACTATATACAAATATTTAAAAGAAAAGTGGGACAAAACTACAGTGCTGTGTCAAAAACTCGGGCTACTTCTACCCTCCGACATCCTGGATTGTTTGATGATGGATTTTATGAGGAAGTAAATGTATGGAGAAAGTGGTAGCTTTCTTCTGTTAAACCTGTTGCATCAATTACATTTCAAACTATCTTCTTTCATATTTCCCTTTGTCTTCAACTTACCAATATTTTAATAATGATTCCTTGATAAAAATGGAAAATAAAATCAAGACAAAATGAATGTAAAGGTACACAACATTTTCCAAAATAATCCAGTTCCATCAATACTGAATATTTGTACATGCTTACAGCCAGCATTCTCTGAAATTTCATTTAATATCTGATGGCCCACGATGGCGTGAATATTCATTGTTCTTTTCGTGTGGCAGCGCTTGAATTAGCTGTCCATTTCGTGAGGTGGCACAGTGCCAACTTATATTACCTTTTATATATATAAGCGCAGCTTATTGGTGAGTCAGGCCGGCCCATGGAAAAATCAAGTATGACTCACTGGTAGGTCATGCCACCCCACAGAACAGACAAGTATGACCCTTCGGTCAGTCAGGCCAGCATCAACGTGTTAAAGAGGACTTCTCACGCATTGGCTAACATGAACGTTAAGAATAGTTAATGCGTAACACAAAGCAAGATACTGATATGTCTAAAAGCTTAATGATTTAATTCTTCAATAAGCATCAAAGACAGCTGCATTTCATCGGATGCACATCAGTCGATAGTATAGACTTACCAAACCATACCCTTCAACAGAGACTGTTCTGGTTTGATAACGTAGTCCTTGCGTCCTAGCCAGTTTGTCATTTTGTTCTCATTATTTCCTAAAATTTTAAAAATGCCAAATATGCAAGAAGTAAAAATAGTGCAGCTTGGATATAAAAGCAATTTAGCAATTAAAATATACCCTTTATTACACTCGCTGTTGACAATCTAAATATACTGTAAGTACTTGTGATTTCAATAAGCTTCACTAAGCTGCAAAACTAACAGTGAAGTACACTGCAGTGAATTTTCTGTCATTAAAAATAAAGAACTTTTGAAGAAAGTACACAGTAGTGATAAATACTAATAACTTTTTAATAACAAGGCATGTTCATAGTTATGCAACAATTTTAGAAGTGCTTACAGTGCCAAAAAAAGCACTAATAAAAAATAATGCTTTATAAATTAAATAAGTTTTAATAAATTTCACTGATATTACTGAATTTATTTTTTTTAATTTGGTACTGTCAGCCCCTAGAGACCAAAAGAAAGTTCACTGTCGGTCCCCAGGGCCTGACATCGGAAAAATAGAAAGTTCACTATTGATACCCAGAAGGCAGACACTGGACAAATGCATTATCAGTCCCCAGGGACCAACGCCACACTGTCAGTGTCAAGAGTCAACAATCTTCTCAGTTGTATCAGTGTAAAATACTTACATATTTTTCAAAGATCATATTTGATAACTTTCTTTACATTATTTTATCAATGAAATATATTACATTTGTAATCTGTGTTTGTCACAGCAATTTTTCAGGTTTGCATGGTGGAATAGCTGATGTTTTTAAACATGTACACTGCTAAAAAAGAAAATGGGACAGTGCTATATCTCCCGTTCTACTGGGCCGATAGACAAAATTCAAACTGCGTTTTTCCATGTCTCGAAAGCGCGACTTAAAATATATATTAGATTTATATATAGCACTAATCTAACATAGGCATTTTGACACAAAATCGGACTTTTCTGAAATAACATATCAATATTTTTCCATATTTCGATTCCACGACTCAAATTATGCCAGAATACCAAGTTTTGTAAAAATTGTACGAGTAGTTTTTAAAATATTAGCTCTCAAAATTTTAGCTCCTCAATGTTAATTGAATTTGGTAAATATTTATTAATATCTCTTTTTTAATTACAACTTTTATTATTTTTCCTTTCACATTTCGAAATTTAGGTTTATTCCAAATAAAATTTACCCATTTTTTGTGTTTTATTTTTTTAATTTGTGTTTTTAAATAATTTTTTATAATTTTGAATTATAACCTATAAAATTTTTACCATCATCTTAAAGTAGGTGTATTTTTAAGCATATCTGAAAAAAAATTAAGACTTTTTTATTCAAAATTTTCTAAGATATACACGAATTTACATATTTTCGCGTTTTGAAATTTGGCATCTTTTCTTTGAGCGATAATAACGCCAAATATGGTCTATGGATTTTTGTTACAGTGAATTGCCAAAGCTATTTTTAACCTTAAATTTCAAGTAAAAATTTACCAAGACTTAATTATATGAAACTTTTTCCCTCAATGACGTGTAATAAATATTTATTAATACTATATGAAAAGCTATTTTTTTTTTAATTATAGATGATGATATTCGAATTTTTAACTATTTTTTTAAATTTCTCTCTTTCTTCCTTTTTTTTAAAAAAAAATAAGAGTAAAATTTACCTTCGGCGTTTTATCGTCTGCTACTTTACTTCGTTTAAATCCAATTTTCTACAACTGAGAATTTTCGTTTGATGTTTATTTGAATTTTATTAAAATACTAGCAGCTTCGCAGCCAGCCTTCATCTGGCTTTTAAATGTACCGGAAAAATGGCTGAAGGAAACACCAAATGTTAAATTTAAAAACTGCATAGAATTTTACTCTGCAGAACAACTTCATAAAAAAAGTTATTACGTATAACTAAATTAAAATGAAATAAGCAATATCCCTTAATACAAATATTAATTACCCTAATAAATAAATTAACCAACTTCCCTTTGCATAATCTTAAGAACTCAAATGGTATAAAGGAGATTAAGAACTTTGTTTCCTAAAAAAATCACTCAAAACTTTTCAATATCTTAAAAACAGTGAAATTAGCAATAAATAACATAAAAGAATACAAAAAACAAAAAATTCTGAAAAGCAAAGTATAATTAATGATATTTTATCTTATATTTTCAAGAGAAAAAAATTACAATGAAATAAGCTATATCCCATAAAACAAATATTAATTATCCTAATAAAAAATTAACCGACTTTCCATTGAAGAAAAAAATCATGCAAAACTTTTCAATATCTTACAGATAGTGAAATAAGCAAAAAATAACGTGAAAGAAACTCAAAAAACAAAAATTTCCGAGCACAAATTAACTCTGCAGAACAACTATACATAAAAAAATCAATAAAAATGTATTATATATATAAAAAAATTATTATATATATAAAAATAATAACGCCAAATGTGGTTTTATGGATTTTTGTTAGTGAATTGCCACAGCTATTTTTAACCTTAAATTTCAAGTAAAATTTTACGGAGAATTAATTATATGAAATTTTTTCCCTCAATGATGCGTAATATTTATTAAAACTATATGAAAAGCTATTTTTTTTTAAATTTTAGATGATATTATTCAAATTTTTAACTATTTTTTTAATTTCTTTCTTCCTTTAAAAAAAAAAAAAGAGTAAATTTTTACCTTCGGCGTTTTATCGTCTGCTAACTGAGAATTTTCATTTGATATTTTGATTTGATAGAAGTTTTAAAACATAAAAGATCAACTCATTTTTTATCCTAAAATGTATTTTTGTGCGTAGCGTATTTTCATTATATCCTTAAAATTCTAATTTAGAATGTAATTGTCAAGAACAGAATCCTAATCATCAGTAATATAATAAGTAATTATTATGGCTATTAATAAATCCTTCTTATAAAGTAATTGCAAATATTTCAAAACACTTTCTGTCTGAATGCAAATATTTTTCTATGCAAATATTTTTAATTTTATATTAATCCAGATTGCACACGATATTATTTATTTGCACTTCAAGTCTTACCAACAGCTCTAGTAGAAGTTACAAATCAATTATATTTAATTAAGGATTGGATTATTTAATTATGGCAAAGCACACGAGGGCTATCTGCCTAAAGGAAGGGATGCCTTTCTGAGGGACTTTCTAAGGGAAACTGGCTCGCATTCATGTTACACATGGGGAAAACCACGAAAACACCCATGCAGCTAGCCCGTTCGCGGGATTCGAACCTCAGACCGAACTACCAGTGTTCAGCGTCTTTACCACTCGGCCGCTGGTGGGCTATTTAATTAAGGAATGACCATCTAAGTTTAGAAACAGCGTACCGTAACAGCAATTTAATTACTGGTGCCGTATCTTTCATGCCTGATTGGCAAGCTACATGATTTTTAATGAGTATTCGGGTTTTGCAAGTAACTTGGAAATTGCGCTTAAACTAGGTTAGTTGGTTATTTGAACATAGAAAGAACATGGGAGCTATTTGATTAAGATGCTTTCATAGAGAACCTTTGTAAAGAGAACCTAGAAAACTACGAAAACCAACCATGCAGCCTGTGTTAGACTTCGTAACAAACAATTAGTATTTAACAATCTTCAAATGCTAGGTAACTGGTAAGGCTCCAATTAAATCTCCAATTT